CAACTACAAGATATAAGCTCAAGTTGCATATACAATTTCTTCTAGGGTACTATTTTCTTGGATTTTAAATTGATTCTCCAACCACGACAGCCTCAAACGCCACCCTTTTAAATATGAACTTACTCGGGTGTAACATCCCAAATTAAGGGTTAATGACTAAATTATAAAATTTCAAAATTTGGGGATAAAAGTAGAATAGTTGAATAATTCAATGATTCATATAGAGATATTTCCTGAAAGTTGTTAGTAAATATTAAAGGAGTCAAAGGGCAAATGAGTAATTGAACAAGGAAAATAATTAAATAATAATTAATATGTATTATAATACCCATGTGGAGAATGATTGAAGAGATAAACTTCTAAGCAATTCTCTTCTCCACGTGAAAGCTCAAGCAAAAGGTAAGTTTCCTCATTAGTTGATTATTTGTTCAATTAAAGGTTGGGTTTTGATCGTTAGATGATAACTAAGCTTAAGGAAAGCTTAAGTTATCTTAAAATCAAAAGATAAATGAGTTATGATAGATTAAAGAAAATGAGTTTCTAAGTGACATTTTGAATAAGAAGGTTTAAATGAATTTGGAGGATAAATTTGACTTGTCATCTATGAGAATAAGAAGTTAAAAGTGTTAGAATTAAGTTTGGATAACATGGAAAATTTGGTATGATTATTGATTTCTATATGGAGAATAGAATTTGAAGTTTAAGATGAAATAATAGAAATAAATGAGTTTAAGCATGTATATTTGAGTTAAGAATATGAAAGGGAATGAAACTTGAAGAATTGAAGTTGAAAGAGTGAATTTTCGTGCAATGAGTGCATCGATGCATTAAGGGGTGCATCGATGCATGGATATTTTGAATCTATTTTGTGTACCGATGCACCTATAGTGCATCGATACACTCCAAAAGGAAAAGCTAAAATTTGGTTTATTAAATTAGCCTGAGTTATTAACATCAAGTTATAAGGTTTAGGCTTCTGATAATCGTCTCGGAAATTATGCTTATGTAGAAATTGAGCCTAAACAAGTTTCGAAACAATCAAAGAATTAAGATCGAATCAAAGCAAGGCTAAGGTGAGTGCAATTTAAATTGTACTTATGTTATTGTATGTGTGACATGATTTATATGAGTATATGCTAGTGTGATTGTGAATAGGTAGAAAGGAAACAAGAGATGATATAATAATCTATTATAAGATATATGATATGAAAATATGATAGTGTGTTATGTGAAAGAACTATGAAATATATGAGTTTATAGGTGCTAAGTGGTGTATATATATGTTTATGTGAAACCATGCAAAGTGATACGAGCTATGTGAACATAAGTGACATAAATTATATAAAAGTAAACTATGTGATTATATGCACATGTGATATGTGACAGAAAATGAGAAATATGGGATTAAAAGAGAGATGATATGAATAAGTGATGTGAATATGTGAACATAAGTAAACAAGACATGATATATGTGCTTACATGAAAATATGAGAAATAAGAAGCTATATGATAACGATATAGAGAATGAAATGAATGACATGAAAGTGTATATAGGAATATGTGATATGTGAAAGTGAACCATATATATATATATATATATATATATGAATATGAGAAATAATATATGCTATATGATATGAAATATATACTTACACATACAAGTGGTATGTGACAGAAGAGAAAGAACAAGTGATATGAAATTATAATGCCCATGTTATGTGATATGAGAGCTAGTGATATAGTAGGCATGCCAAGAGTCGAGGGTTTACCTATGTTCTACGGAACATATGGACAGAATTACCTATGTTTTTCGGGACATATGAACAGAATTACCTATGTCTTCTGAGACATATGGAATATACCTATGTTCTAAGGAACATATGAACAATTACCTAGGTTTTCGGGACCTATGGACAGTTGTCGAGGTTCTTTATGACCTCTGGATAGGTCCTTCAGGATATTTATATGAGCGGTGGTGACAACATAGTGGTGCACAACCTCAATGTACTCACATACCTTAAGTTCTCAAAAGTATACATGGGCTAATACATGATCATTAAAGACAATAAATAACTTGATATAATACTATGTGTGCTCTGTTGTAAAATGATATGGATGCCCGATGGTGAGTATAGAAATGTTCAGTATATGCTTACATGATATAAAGGAATTAGTGATAATAATATGAGTACTGATAAGTATTGTAAATGGTATATGATTTTATATGATATGATAGTATTAATTGTTTATGCATTAATATGAGTAGAGTAATATCATATGTTTTCATGCCTCATTAAGTTAACGACTTAGCGTGTGATTGTTTTACACGTAGGTTCCGAGAAGAGAAAGATTGATAAAAGTTATGCAATACATGTCAGTTCTCCTTTCCAAAGATCAGATCAGAAAAGAAATGTACAGTATGTATTTTGTAATAAGGATAGTGGTTGGCATGTAAGTAAGGATTTAAATCCGATATATTCTAATCGGTTTGTAAAATTATATGATAGAGTTTTGCAATGTTTTAAATGTGTATATATAAATGGAATTTTTGTACGAATGAAAACTCAGATTTTTATAAATTTATATGTATTTTGCTAAGTACTGTAGCAATACTGTAGCAGTGCATCGATGCACTGTAGCAGTGCATTGATACACTATTGATATTCAAAATTTTTTACTGTTCACGGTAATGTTCATTACTATTCATACAGTACTATTCACTGTTCATACCATATTTTACTGTTCATAAAATGTATATTTTCTTAAATTGGTTATAACAAACATGATTCAATAATATATTATCGTATTTTTCTTAAAAAGAGTTCAAATGTTCTATTATTTTGCAAGAATAAAGGTTTTGAAATATCAATGTGACATCTCAGACTCGTATCCGGGTCGGATACGGGTTGGGGTGTTACATTGGGCTTGCCCAAGAAACTCATTGCAAAGTGCTTCCATGGTATTGTAATCATTTCTTATCAACATTGACATCCCATTTGTTGGAACCATGAGTTGGAAGGCCACATCTTCTAGGGTTATCATGCATTCTTCGCACGGAAAATAAAATGTATGTGTTTCTGGCCTCCAACGTTCAATCAATGCACTTATCAAACCCGAGACCAACTTATACTCTCGAACAATTGTAACATAATAAAATTCAACCTCTTCCAGATGATCTTCAATCAAAAGGTGTGACTTAGCGGGAATATTGATCCGATTACGAAGGATTCGCTGCTCGTCTTCCTACAATTATAATAATCATGAAATTAATCAATTGATCATAAAATAACCATTAATATTTATTATATTTAATAAACAATTATAATATTTTATTAGATAATAATAACACCATCGCTCCCAAATGGCTAGAAATATGTTGAACGTCAAGATGAAGTAGTTGATTTGTTCTGCCATTTGAACGAATATGTAAAAAAAATTAATAACATTAATAATTTAATAACACATAAAGTTGCTGCTTTTTGGAGGAAAATGATGCATAAAAAAACAAATACTACTAACTACATCTAAGTATTCAACACAAATAAGAAACACATACAAGTTACATACAAAAGTAATATCTATCCATGCATCTAATTTAAACGAATTGGTTTAGTAGATTAAATGTTGAATAATGATAATATTATAACGAATTCAATTTAAAGATTACATTTAATATAAACATTAATTTAATCTAAAAATAAATAATCTACTAAGTAACTAATTTAATTTAAACAAGTAAAAATTCATAAAAACAACAATAACAACGAAAATTATCTTGTTGCTCATCTTCTCCTTTAAACGTAATCTATTATATTTTTAAGTTAAATTCAAGATAATTTATTTAATTCGAACTCAACAACATTAATTAATTAAATAATCACTTTAATAAATTGAACAATTTAAAATTTATCGTCTACATCATTCATGCTATTTTATAAATAATATATATTTTATAAATAATATATATTTTAAAAAAGAAAACTAACTGGGTCAAATTTATCGAATAATGTAACATGGACCGACTTTATCTTTCTTCTATTCTTCTTCTTTCTTTCTTTCTCTTCTCTTCTTTATTCCTCTCTCCTCTTCTTTCTTCTCCCATTCTTTCTTTCACTCCCGGTATAACCTTCTCTCCCTACACCCCATATATATATTTAAAACCCAAGGGGCATGGATTTCCATGCGTCTTCGGGGGGTGGGAGGAGTCGCATGGATTTCCATACGCCTCCAAGGGGTTTTTGGTCCACGTAGAAGCAACGCATGGGGCATGCATGTGGTGGCATGGAAAGCCGGGCAGTCTTGGCATAGGGGAGCATAACCAAGCAGGAAAAATATAATGGAGGTGGGAGACGCATTGTAGGCACGGCGTCTCCCCTTGGTCGCATGAACTACCGTACGATTCCCTAGTGGACTGTAGCAATCACCCTATTTGAAGAATTAATCCCAAATGTGCATTATTTTACGAAATAAAAAACTCAACTGCATTATTCTAACAATTTAGCCCCCGTTCGGCCGTACCCAACCTCTATTTTCTCCCCTACAATTTTTCTTTCTCTCCCAGCCAAATTTCTACTAAAATCCATTTAAATCCACACATATTAAAATTTGGGTTAAGGATTTAAGTGTATATGTAATTAAAAATTTGGAATACCAGAGAAAATAATAGTCAATCAGTGATAACAACAAAAACAGTGATTAAAGATGGTTAGAAATGATCGACAATAGTTTATAAAGAGATTAAGATGAGAAATTTATTTATTTTTATTTTTTTTATAATTTCAAAAAAGATTGAGTACTTTTTAAAATTAACAATATTCTTAAAATCTTTTTAAAAATAAAATTTCAAAAAAATATGATACCTAATGAGTTTTTTAATTGTTATTACGATGTAATCACTTAAAAATATAATGTTTGAAATGTTTATCATTTATTTAAAATTAATTTTAAATATAATTTAAACATTTATTTTACCTTAAAACTTTAAACAAATAAGTAAAAATAAAATAAGAGGGTCGAGCAAATCAAAGGATTGCAATTGGAAGTGAGCATAGCATTAGCACACCTCACCATACGCTGCGGATTGTGTTGAATTCATCCATCCATTCATCTTTCGAGTTTTTGAGGGTATTTGGGGTTCGGGTCTTGCTTTTGGGTTTCTGGGATTTCCCTCAAATTCATGGATTCAACCTCCCAATATCCAAAGCAAACTAAAATTTCTGCCTTTCTGATGTTTCTCCATTAAAGGTATTCTCTTTTTTCCCTTCCCAATTCAAACTCCATAGATTTTAGGGTTTCTTTCCTATTCAAATATGCATTTCCCCCCTTTTTTCTGGGTGTTTTCTTTGCTTTCGATTCTGGGTTGTAGTAGTTTTTTTCTTAGCTTCCTCTGGTTACTGCTTTAGAATTTTGAAATAGAATTTAATGTCTTTTTTTCCTATTATTTTGTTGTGGGAAGAAAATACCTTTATCATGTATTACATGTTTTGTTAATGTAGTTTTTGTTGTGGTCGATTTGGTTTTCTACTGGTTAGGCCATGTCTGGGAAGAAAATAATTGCAATATGTCAGTCTGGTGGCGACTTTGTCACCAGTAAAGATGGTTCATTGACCTACAATGGCGGCGAGGCCTATGCTATTGATATCGATGAGCAAACCAAGTTAAGTGATTTCAAGTCTGAGATAGCAGATATGTTTAATTTTAGTTCTGCTAACATGTCTATCAAGTACTTCCTCCCCGGAAATAAGAAGACCCTCATAACCATCTCCAAGGACAAGGATTTGCAGCGCATGCTTAATTTTGTAGGTGAAACTTCGACCGTTGATGTTTTCATCACGTTGGAGGAAGCTGCTGCTTGTAATGTCTCCAACATGCCTGCTAGTAGGTAGCTACTCTTCATGTTTCTGAATTTACCATCCAAGTTGGCCCTCTCTGTTAATATTACATATGCTTAAATGAACAGGTCTAGCAGGACGACTATCTCTGAAGCTGGAGTTCCTATTGTTGTTCCTGCCAGTGCTGATGTTGGAATGAACGATGGCATTGACCAACTTGATATGGACATGCCGGACGGAACTCCTTTAGACTGTATGCCCATTAATATGATTGATGAGAGGCATCATAAAGCTGCTCAGCTTTGGGAGAATACGATCACCGGAGTAGACCAAAGATTTAATAGTTTTAATGAATTCCGAGAAGCTTTGCATAAATACTCAATTGCACATGGTTTTGCTTATAGGTATAAGAAAAATGACAGCCATCGTGTTACTGTTAAATGCAAAGCTCAAGGCTGTCCCTGGAGGATATATGCATCGAGACTGTCCACTACCCAGTTGATTTGCATCAAGAGAATGAACACAACACATACGTGTGAAGGAGCTTCCTTAAAAGCTGGGTACCTGGCAACGAGGGGTTGGGTGGGAAGTATTATAAAGGAGAAATTGAAAGTTTCCCCCAACTACAAGCCAAAAGATATTGCCAATGACATCAAACGAGAATATGGAATCCAACTGAATTATTCTCAGGCATGGCGAGCAAAAGAGATTGCCAGGGAACAGCTTCAAGGATCCTTTAAGGAAGCATATACTCTCTTACCTTATTTCTGTGAGAAGATAAAAGAGACTAACCCAGGCAGTATTGTCACCTTTAATACCAAGGATGACTCAAGCTTCCATCAACTATTTGTCTCATTTCATGCCTCGATATCTGGTTTTTTACAAGGATGTCGACCTCTAATTTTTCTTGACAGTACTACTTTGAATTCTAAATACCAAGGGATGTTGTTGGCTGCAACAGCTGCAGATGCGGAGGATGGTATTTTTCCTGTAGCTTTTGCTGTAGTTGATGATGAGACTGAAGACAATTGGACTTGGTTTTTAAGGGAACTCAAATCTGCTGTTTCTACATCGAGTCAATTGACATTTGTTGCAGATTTTCAGAATGGTTTAAAGAGGGCACTGGCTGATGTATTTGATAAATGCTACCACAGCTATTGTTTACGACATCTTGCTGACAAACTCAACAGAGATTTAAAAGGGCAGTTTTCCCACGAGGCAAGACGGTTTATGATCAATGACTTTTACACTGCTGCTCGTTCGCCGCGACTTGAAGGTTTCCAGCGGGCTGCTGAAAGTATAAAATGCATTTCTCCTGAAGCTTATGATTGGGTCATTCAAAGTGAACCAGAGCACTGGGCAAATGCCTTTTTCGGAGGAGCAAGGCATAACCACATGATCTCTAGCTTTGGGCAGGAGTTCTATAGTTGGGTATCAGAAGCACATGAATTTCCTATAACACAGATGATTGATGTATTACGGGTTAAGATGATGGAGTCGATCTATAAACGTCGTGTGGATTCCAGTCAGTGGATGACAAAGTTAACTCCAAGTAATGAGGAAAAGTTGCAGAAGGAAACTGCAATGGCGCGGTCACTTCAAGTGTTACTCACACATGGTAGCGTATTTGAAGTCCGTGGGGAATGTGCGGAGGGGACGTTTGTTGAGGTTGTTAATATAGATCATTGGGACTGCAGCTGTAAGGGCTGGCAACTTACTGGTTTTCCTTGCTGTCATGCTATTGCCGTCTTTGAATGCATTGGTAGAAGTCCTTATGACTATTGTTCTAGATACTTTACAACTGAGAGTTTCCACTTAACTTATGCGGAATCCATTCACCCTGTTCCAAATATAGATAGACCAATTGAGAATGAATCACTCGAGGTAGCCGTTGTAACTCCTCCAACTAAACGTCCACCAGGTCGGCCAAAGAAGAAGCAGGAATCAATGGACCTCATTAAACGACAGCTACAGTGTAGCAAATGCAAGGGCCTTGGCCACAACAAGAAAACTTGCAAAGAACCCTAGAGTAGATGTAGGACACTGTAAGTAGGCACCTATTCTTCATGGTTTTACAGCTATATAAGATTAATTAGTTTTGGTTGGCTATCTCAACTTTTTTTCCCTCTATTTGTCTTTTTATGATGCCTTTGCCATCAATCTATTTGATCAAATTTTACTCCTTTTATGTCTATCTCCATCATCCATAGCACTTTTAGATGGTCTTCGAGAATGAGACTGTCTTGTGCTATACTGGTAACTATACTAGTGATCATCAGCTGATGTTTCACTTGACAATCTTATTCTATTAACACGCCGATTCCTGGTTATAGTGAGCATCGTGTCTAATCTGAACATATATTTCCTATTACCAGTCAACACTGCTTGGTTAAGAGCTCTGCTACCCTATGCTCCACTTGTTGATATACTTAGGGGTAAATAGTTGATAGAATACTTGAGTAAAACTAACTAAATAGATAATATAATGTTATGTGACATATAACTAGCTTGTCCTTTATTTCAACTGTTAATTCTTCGATTGTTTATAACGAAGTGAACGACTTGTAGTTTCTGTGGCATCATTTAACATAAGATTCTGTGGAAGTTGGGGTCTTGATTTTAAATTTGAACATCTTTGTTGTTTGTTTCAGTTAGAGCACTATTTGTTCTTGTTTGTTCTTGTACCTTTATACCTGGTTTCTTTATTATTGGGATGATGGAACTTGGGTTTTAAAATGTGCGCCTCGGGGGTGATGAAGGTAGTGCCCGACTGGATTGAGGCAAGGCGATTTACAGGAGGCGGAGGGAGGCACGCACCTAAGGGCTTAGGCATCCGGTGCCGGGCACAGCACCTTTGCGCTTTTCAGATTTTTAGATTTTTTAAGATATTTATATTTTTAATAAATAATTATATTTTAATATTAAAAAAAAGCCCATCTTTCTTTACTAACTCCCAGTCTCTCACGATACACAATTGGAAAAAAAGAAAAACTCACTAAACAAAATCCCTAAGGGTGCGTTTGGTTCACGGAATGTAAGATTACTAGTGGGAATGTAAGATTACCAGGGAATAAGATTACTGAGAATGTTGTATTTTGTGTTTGGTTGGCTTAGCAGGAATGTAAGATTACCGTGTTTGGTTAAAGGAATAAAAGATTATTGGAATGTATATTTGATCAAGTTGTCTTTATTATATATTTGTATAATATTACAAGTTAAAAAATATTTATATATTTTCTTTAAAAATTTAAATTCATAATATTTATATAATTTTTTTAAAAAATTAAAAATATAAAAAAATTAATGAAAGAGTAAAATTTTATTTTAATCCCTGAACTTCATATAAAATTTTAATTATAGATTTTTTTTAAATTTAAAATAATTTAAGGATAAATTTGTAATTTAACATTCGTAGAATTTTTATCATTCAATGACAGAAGAAGAATATTTAAAAAAAAATTAAAAATTTAAGGGCATTTTAGTCCAAAACGCCGGTAATCCAACAATACCTAATGAAATGGAGGTAATGACATTCCCAGTAATATACCCCAAAAAATCCACTATTGGTAATCTTTCATTACCGGAAATGGGATTCCCGGCCTAATCAAACTGGGGAATGTGGATTCCATTCCCATGGGAATTCCACATTTCCCATCCAAACACCCCCTAACATTCTCTCTCCATCGCGCGCTCCTCTTCATTATAATATTATTTATTATGTTAGTTTGAGTACAAAATATAGTTTACACTTGATCTATATTATATATTACAAACAGTACGCCTAGGCTCCAAGGGCCTTTTGCGTCTCGGTACGCCTTGCGCCCTTAAAAACCAAGTATGAAACAAGTTCTAAATTATCTGAAAAGGAAAGAATACTAGGGCAAAAAGAAACACCAGAACTGAGCTCATTTTTTCGGTGTATTTCATTCTTATTTTGTTGTCCATTTCCTTCGCAAATAAAGATATCGGATGCTCCCACTGAAACTTCAATGACATTAATTTGGAAGTTGTTCCGTGGCAGGGTTTAATTTTTGAATGTTGTTAATGAAATAACTATATACAGATATATCCAGCTTGAGTGTTCAAATTTTGGGTTGTGAATTTGATTCCTGGTTTTAAGCATGCTTGTCAAACTGTAAGTCTGTAATACTATTTCAATTCCTGGTGATGTTGAGTGTAAATAGACTTTTATATTGTATTGTCTTATGGTTTCGACGCAATGTGCTACATTTGCCTTCTGTTCTTGAAAAATTGCCCGTTGTGTTCGCATATTCTGCCTATCATGGCGTAGTCTGTTGAAATTGCCGTGCAATGAGTGTTGCTCCTATTGCTTGCATCCTATTTTCCATGCATTTACCTGGGAACAAAATGCAATAGAACTTTACTAACCATATGTCCCTTAGCCGGATATGCTTCTTGTTCTTCCTGTAATTCATCTCATATGAATGATGAATACATGATTTCCGTGATTTTCGAAGATTCATGCTTAGACAAGGCTGTGATTTTCTTCATGCATTCTCTCCCTTTCCATAAAAAGAATTTGAGAACTTCATACTACATGATTTGGTGATAAAAAATAGAGAAAATAACCTCAGTGACTAAAAATGCCTTATAATATACGATTTTAACCAACTTTTTTTGGATTTGCCAAAATGATCAACTAAATAGCAATGCGATCGATAATTCGCAACGCGATCTCCGGTATCGCAAATCAGTTTCCAGATTCGCAACGCGATTCTGACTATCGCATTGCGATTTTCCAAATTCGCGTTGCCATTTTCCGAATTCACAATGCGAATATGTAAATCGCAATGCGATTCTGACTGTCACAACACTGAATTTCAAATTCGCAACAGGTTTTAGTTTCGCAACACAAATGTTTTGGGTATATAACTACGCAGCAGAAGCAACTCATAGCCTAAATCCCTAAATCGCAACTCATTCCATCTCAATCTATCACTCTCTCCGGCGACATCCGTTCCTATATCCAACGACATCCTTCCCTATCCGGCATTAGGTTTTAGTTTCGCAGCTCGTTTGTTTAGTAAATTAATTTACAATAATGAAATCATCTAATGTTGATCATGTTTGGATAGATTTGTGTTTTGGAGGGTCATGGGAGAATGTTCATGGTGTTTTACAATATATGCCTTTACCCATGAATCTTCAACTAAAACTGTTATTAAAAAAGTTAACTTATGAAACTCTAATGTTACGTGTTGCAAATAAATTGAATTTAGAGCCCTTAAGTGGATTTAGGCTATCTTATCAGAGAAAAGGTAAAGTTTATTTGTTAACCGACAATGAAGATGTTGAACGATTCATTTCTTACATTAGTGTTTCGCAAGATGATGTTACATTGTATGTTGTTGAACCTAGAAGTAGTGAAGTTGGGTCAGTAGCGGGTAGTAATCAACTAAGTTTTTCAATCCCAGTTTATGGTGCTCAAAATTTAATGGTTCCACCACAATTTCATCACAAAGCAAATTTTGTTTCACCACATTTCCAATACCAAACACAATCTCAAAACCCACAACCTTTCCCTAATCCAAATCCCAATCAACTTTCAGCACCAAATTCCGGTTTTCGTATTAACCAGTTAGACGATGATGAGCCAACAGAAAAAATTGTGAGTACTAGTTGGTATTCGAAATTTGATCTTGGTCAATACCCGGACTTTGATCTTGGTCAATACTCGGATTTTGATGATGTTTCAGAAGAAGAAACAGACCCTGCGTGTAATGATTTTGATATTGGTCAATACCCGAATTTTGATGATGAAACAACCGTTGCTGATGAAGATGTTGTTGATGATAATGAGGAGGAAATTACGACTGTGAATGAACATGTTGAACATCCATTCTGTAATTCATATAACACTGAAGAAGAAAAAGAAGAAGAAAAAGAAGAAGAAAAAATCCTCGAAGAAAAGTCCCCGAAGAAAATGCCACGGGAGTATAATTGGAATATGCCAGAATTACTTCAGATACTGGAAGAAGAGTTGGTAAATATAGTAGTTGGTAAAAATAGCAGTTGATTGTTACACAAAAATTATTCGTATCAAGAAAGATGATTGTTTTGATACAAAGGAAGACTTGAAGATAGCTTTGTATACGAAATGTGTGGAAGATGGCTATCAACTAAAAGTTAACAAATCAAGCAAAGATCGTTTCGAAACAAGGTGTATGATTGACAAAAACTGTACGTGGCGTATGATTGCAAAGAGGATAAAAGATTGCGAAATGTTTCAAGTTAGGACTTTTATTGATAAACATACATGTTCAAGAACCCAAGTTTTTCCCCACCATAGATAGGCAAACAAAAAGGTGTTGGGTGGTTTTCTGGCTGAGTTAATGTTTTTGAATGGCAGGGTATATCGGGAACATGAAATTATGACTGACATGAATGCTCGGTTCAAGATTAGTATCTCATATTCTCAAGCTTGGAGAGCCAAATGTTATGCCTTGGAATTGTTGAGGGGGTCGCCAGAAGCATCGTTTGCCCAACTGCCGGCTTATTATCACAATTTAAAGCTGAAAAATCCTGGGTCGGTAACTCATATCAAAACAGATAGAGATGGACGCTTTGAGTTGCTGTTTATCGCCATTGGTGCTGCAGTTAGTAAATCAATATAATTTTATTGACTCATTTTTGTTAGTTACATGCATTTCACATTTAAATGATTATATTTCTTGTGTATATGATTTTTTAGATTCGTTCATTTATTACTTGCATGCGCCTAGTTATTATAGTTGACGGAGCACATTTAAAAGGTCGATACCTTGGAGTAAACTTATTAGCAGTAGCCATGGATGCTAACAATGGGATACTGCCAATAGCTTACGGGGTTGGCAAATCTGAAACCTCTGATTCATGGACATGGTTAATGGGGCATCTTAGGGATTGCATAGGTCCTATTAACAACCTGATAATCATATCCGATAGGGCAAACTCAATTGACAACGCTGTTAAAAGGTGTTTCCCAGATGCTTTTCATGGACTTTGTGGTGTTCATTTATATAGAAATCTAAAATCAAGATCTGTTGGTATAAAAAATCACAAATTAACATACTGGAAGGCTGTAAAAGCTTATCGGGAAGTGGATTTTAATAAACATATAAATTGTTTAAGACGTGTTTTTCCTCAGTGTGCTCAAACACTAGAAGATGTCGGGTTTGAAAGATGGTCAAGAGTACATCAACTTGGAGCAAGATATGGTTTCATGA